CAGGAGCAGCAATTGGAGGCTGCTCACAGGGCGGCTCTCCTGCGCTCGTATCCACGTTCGGACTTATACCCCCGTGTGAAGTACGGCTTTCGCTCGGCGGATTTCGCTACTGAAGCAATAGACGCTATCACTCGATCGCTAGGCGCTATGTAGCGGGCTTCCAGCCACTACACAAGCTGAGCTTGATCAGCAAGAAGCTCTGCGTGCTCGATTACTGGTACCACATAAGACCCCAATTGATCGGTACCGCGCTCGACATCGAGCTCAAAAGAAAGGCGCTCCTGTACCCGACTTGCGGACCATCCCTGTGGTGCTAGCCTCTGGCGAAAGCACTGCAGATACTGATGGGCTCTTGAGCGATGGATGCACCGGCACCGATGACTTTCCTCGCTGTCTACCTTACAGCGAAGCCACAAGGAAGTAAATTTGCGCGTTGAGCGTTATCTTAAATTCGAGTTTGCCAACTTCGTGTTGTCGCTCTGCGACATATGGAACAATTCATAACGCCCCCGCGAGCCAGGTGAGTCTTCGACCACAGCAGCTCAGGGCCATAGCTTGAGCTCAGTTCATGGCCCTCCGGCTCCCAGGGCTAATGCCGAGAAGCGTGGTGTGCACGACGACGCGAAGCGTCATGATCCTTCCGATCAGAAGCGTCCACGAAGTCTGGGCAGTCTCGCCGAAGCGGCACCTCAAACTCCCACGAGTTCTTGAAATTTGGGTATCCCCGCCACTTCACAAGATTTTGGATTAAACCTCCGTCGACGACGTCGACCCACAAGGCGTTTCACGTGGTAGTGGACGCCACTTTTCTCATCGAAAAGAGTCGGCGGCGGGCGATGACGACTTGGTCGATCGCCGTCTTGTGACTCGCAATACTCTTCGTGCAATGGAGAACAAGGTCCGCTGTCATCGGCACTCTGCCGAGCATCTCTTCGAGGTCGCCTACCGCTGTGCAGAAGACCTAGAGAGCCTGAATCACTTTGTGCACCGACTTCCTCACGTTGTGGATTATTGTGTTCTGTCGAAGCGGCTCCTAGCCGTCGAGCAGGTGAATACGTCACTTTGTGCGACGGTAGAGCGCCTTGCGCCGTTAGGAACGGAAATTGTTGCACTCCGTGCTCATAATCAGTTGCTGGCTCAACTCCTGGGAGGCCGAGCGCCTATGGATGCCAGCCGGCTGCCAACGCTTCCGCGTTCACTTTCACCGGATCCTGGTATGGCTTCAGCAAGCCCACATAAAACACCGGGTGTTTGCGCATCCTTCTCGGAAGGTTCAGCGTATACGCAAGACCTCGCTTGGCCATGACCTTAAAAGGATCAATATACCGTGGACGAAGCTTTGTCTTAAATACAGCAGAAACTGCATATGTAGGAAGGTTTTTAGCACTTGATAAAACCAGGTCTCTGATCTCAATGTTTTCAGCATTTCCTTTCCTCTTCCGTCTGCATATTTCTTCTGCATGTCCTGGCTTCAGCCATCGCATCGCGAAGTGTCGTAAGACACTCAGTCTGGTAGACAGGGAGTCTTCGACTTCTTTACGCACGATGACAGGGTTGACATCAGCTAGCCGATCAGCTTTCCCCCACCACCAAGCTGTGAGCCATTAGATGGCGGCGTTAGCGGAATGCGATGATTAACAAGCCCGTTCTCGTAGAATGGCGTATAGCCGGTAGACTAGTGCACTGCACTGCTCAGAGCGAACTACGCAGATGCCGCGAATAATCTCTTCGACGACGCGATTTTCGCGCTCAGTCTGACCATCGGTACGCGGTTCGTCCGCTTTTGACATAACCAACTTAATGTTTATCACCCTGAAGATTGAAGACCAAAACTTCTCAGTGAAGCGCGGGTCTCTATCGAAGGCGATTGACTCCAGGAATCCATGTTGTCGAAAGACGCGATTGACAAACAGCGTCGCTATACCTACACCGTCGAAGGTGTCCGGCACTGCCGCAAGATGAGCCATCTTGGTTAAACGGTCCACAAAGACCACCACACCCGTGTTGTCTGCCGAGTCCTTTGGCAGGCCAAACACAAAGTCCACACTCATTGAGTGCCAACACCCGGAGGGTACCGGAGAAGTGGCCAACGGCGCAGCCGCATTTGAAGAGTATTTCACCCTTTGACACGTCTCACACGCGCGCACATATGTGCCCGTCCATCAATACAGCTTGAGCCACCAGTAGCGGCAACTCACAGCGCTGTACGTCTTCTCACGACCGAGATGACCACTGAGTGGGGTGTCGTGGTCCTCGTATAGGTTACGGTATTTTAACTCTCGTCGTGGGGAAACACCATTTTTGGCGTATCCGTCGAATCGGTGCTATGATACAGCACCCGTTATTCAATGAATATCGGTGTAACCGTGGGCGCAATCGTGCCGAAAATTTCTTGCCCGATTTTCCAAACACCTTGCCCCCGAGAGCCTGTAGTAGCACTACACACAGACCATCACCCGCGTATGCGGCGCGAATCTGGCGACGCCACTGTCGTGACACGAGCAAGTTCATAGTCCTGTGTGTGTGACAACGCATCAGCCAAAGCATTCTGCTTTCCTGGCTTATACTTTACCTCGAAGTTGTATTCTGCGAAGAAGGAGAGCCGCCTAGCCATCCTCTACGAGAGGTGAAGCGACTGAGTCGCAGTGCGTAATGACACATGATCTGTGTCGATCACAATCGGCTTTGAGCCAAGCAGGTGCACCCTGAACGTGACAATTGCATACTTCATCGCAAGTAATTCCTTGTCGTGGACTGGGTAGTTCCTCTCCGCAGCCTTCATCAGGCGAGATTCGAACGCGATCACCCCATCTCACACCTCCGCATCTGCTTGCAGCAGTGCATAGCCGATGGCATAGTCCGAAGCGTTACAGACGGCACGAAAAGGACGCTCGGGGTCTGGCAACGCCAGTATTGGTGCATGAATGAGGCTATCTTTGA